AGGCCATCCACTCACCTCAGTCTCCCAAAGTGCTGGGATTACAGGCTGAGCCACCGAGCCCGGCCCAGACTTTATTTTCAATGATCATATTCTTACTTCTAGAAGTTTTATTTGATTCGTTTTCAAACCTACTTGATCTTATTCTCATATTTTTCAATGTATTAAGTATACTTTTTATTTTTGATGTCTGATAACACCAATATTGGAACCATGCAAGATATGGCAATATTCCCTGTAGTTTCTGAGGTGAGCGATTTTTTTTCTGTTTCTTTTTATCAAGGAATAAGTTACACATAATACAACTGGCCCTTTTCAGCGTGACCTTCTGCAAGTTTTGACAAACGCCCGTCCTTTCATTCAGCATGATGCGATTTGCGATTCCTCAAGCTGCTGCTGGCACCAAGCGAGTGTTCCTTTCTGTGACGCTGTGACTTTCCGTGGCAGGGATCTACCATGGTGTGTCCAGTCATCAGGGCACGGACATCATTTTTTGCGATGACAAAGAAACCTCTAGAAATATTCACTACAGGGCTTTGTGTGAATTTAAGCTTCCATTTCTCTTGGTAAATACCATGGAGTGGGATTGCTGGGTCACGCAACGTGGTGTAACTTCACTGCTCGGCTGTTTCCCAGGGTCTGCACCATTTTGCCGTCCCAGGAGGGAGCACGAGAGCCAAGCTGCCCGCCAGTGCTCAGCACTGTCAGGCTTTTGTTTCCCATTTGGCCACTCCAACAGGCTCATGGTGGAATCCCATATGGTTTTAGTTTGCGTTTCCTACGTGTTTCAAGAGTCGAGCGTCTTCACATGAGCATATCTGCCACCCACATGTCTTCTTGGGTGAGGAGTCTATTCAAGTCCTTGACCCTTTTTTTTTTGACTGGGCTATTTGTTTTAAAATTATATATTTTGGATTCAAGTTCTTTATCAGATATATGGTTTGCTAATGTTTCTGCCAGCCTGTGGCTTGTCTTATTACTCTCTTAATAGTATCTTTCACAGAGCAGACATTATTAATTTTGATTAAGTCCAGTATATAATTTTTAAAAGAGGATCATGTTGTCAATGTCATATATAAGAATTCTTTGCCTAACCCAGAATCACACATTTTCTCTAGGAACTTTATAGTTCTGGATTTTACATTCAGGCCCATGATCCATTTTGAGGAATTTTTAACTATAGCATGAAGAATGGGTAAGTTAAATTTATGTTATGCTGGCTTATGTTAATCCAATCATTAAGGCCTTATTTGTTGAAAAGACTGTTGTTTCTCCAAGAAGTTACCTTTGCTCCTCTGTCCAAATCAGGTGACCACAATTGTGTGTGTCTACCTTTGGAATCTCTGTTCCTCTGAATCCTGTATCTATCCAACACCATGCTGTCTTGTTACCATACTTTGGTGCATTCAGGAGCCATTCATGATCTTTGAAATCAGGTAGCCTAAGTCCTTCAACTTTGTTTTTCAAAATTATTTTGGCTATTTTAGGTTGGGGTCTCACTTTGTTGCCCAGGCTGGAGAGCAGTGGCACAATCGTGGTTGGAACTACAGGCATACATCACCATGTCTGGCTAATTTTTTGATTTTTTTGTAGAGATGAGGTCTGGCTATGTTGCTCAGGCTGGTCTCAGACTCCTGGGGTCAAGCAGTCTTCCCACCTTGGCCTCCCAAAGCACTAGAATTATAGGTGTGAACCACTGCACCTGGCCTCATATACATTTTAGAATCAGTTTGTCAATTTCCATAAAAATCCTGCTGGAATTTTGATGGAATTTTGTTGATCCATAGTTGGAGAATTGACATTTTTATTTATTTTATTTATTTATTTTTTGAGTTGGAGTCTCACTCTGTCGCTCAGACTGGAGTGCAGTGGCCACTCCCGGCCACCGCAGCCTCGACCTGCTGGGTTCCAGCGATCCTTCCACCTCAGCCTTCCAAGTAGCCGGAATTACAGGCATGCGCTACCATGCCCGGCTGATTTTTTGATTTATTGTAGAGGTGAGGTCTTGCTGCCCAGGCGGGTCTCGAACCCGCGGGCTCAGGCAATCCACTCACCTCAGCCTCCCAAAGGCGCGGGATTACAGGCTGAGCCACCGAGCCCGGCTATTGTTGCATTTTTCAAAGATCGTGGATGGCTACTGAATGTGACCAAGGGCTTTTTCTGTCTCTCTTGAGGAAATCGTGTTTTTCCTTCTTCGGTTCTCGATGTGGAGGATTCTGCAGAATGACTTCTGAACGCTGAGCCGGTCTGAATTCTGAGGAAACCCCACTTGCTTTTTTTTTTCTTTTGAGTTGGAGTCTCCCTCTGCCGCCCAGGTTGAAGTGCATTGGCATGATCATGGCTCACCGCAGCCTCAGCCTTCTGGGCTCTGGCAGTCCTCCTGCCTCAGCCTCCCGAGTAGCTGTAATGACAGGTGTGCATCACTGTGCCTGGTTAATCTTTTGATTTTCTGTAGAGACAAGGTCTTGCTGTTTTGTCCAGGCTGGTCCCATGTTGCTCTGGAACGTGCAGAGGAGGAACTGGATTCTCACTATTATTTAACTTGGATTCATTTAAATTTAAGTAGCAGGATGTGGTTGGCCAGCCCTCGTGGACAGCACTGTCTCTCACACTGGGTAGAAGTGTAAATCTGCACAACCACTCGAAGTTCGATAGTGCCGGTGAGACGGGCAGGAACACAGACACACAGGAGAGGATGCAGAGGGACACTGTTCACCGTCGCACCATGGCAGCTCCCGGAGATGTGCTGGTGGGAGGATGGATGAGTCACTTGAGGCACATTTGCGAAAGGAAACACCAGGCGTGGCGAAGGCTGAGGGGTGCGGCTCACATGCCACGTGGTGACCCCCAGCCCGCAGAGCCGCAGGGGCCATGCACAGAGCACGCTCTGGTCACGTGAAGGCCAGACACCGAGGAACCCACGGCTCCCGGGCATCTATAGAACACGGGAGACCGCGCAAGAGCATGGAGGTGACAGGAGCAGAGCGGTGGACAGGACTGGGCTGCTCCTGCCCATCCCTTCCCTGAGCTGCTCTTGGCTCAGTGCCTGGTTTCCAGCCAGGGTTGGACACACAACCACAACCTCAAGCACACACAGGCCAGGGCTCTGGCAACCCAGCTGGGGGCGCATGGGTGGAGCCTTCCCTGTAGGGTGCTGTCTCCCACCCGTGTGGCCCAACTGGCAGTCCAGTGCCGGGCTCCCTTTCGGTCTTCTGTTCGCTTAATGTGAGTGTGCATTTCAATCCACCATAACCAGGATTTATCTGAACCTGCGAATGTTTTCTTATTTACTGTCACTTGAAATCAGAGCTCCATGGCAGGCTTGGTGGCTGAGCCTGTAACCCCAGCATTTTGGGAGGCCAAGGCAAGTGGATTGCCCGAGCCCAAGGCAAGTGGATTGGTCTTGGTTCAAGACCAACCCTGGGCAACTTGGCGAGACCTCGTCTCTACAATAAATAAAAAATTAGCTGGACGTGGTAGCACGCGCCTGTAGTTCCAACTACTTGGAGGCTAAGGTGGAAGAATCGCCTTAGCCTAGCAGGTTGATGCTGGGGTGGCTCTGATCATGCCACAGCACGCCAGCCTGAGTGACAGAGTGAGATTCCGACTAAAAAAAAAAAAAAGTTCAGAGCCCTGCGACAATTCCATACTGCTGAGCCCTCCCCTGGGCCCCGAAGTCCCCTGCTGCCCAGGAGGCTCTGGGAGCACTGCCTTGCAGCCCACACTGCCCTCTGTGCCCGCCTCCTGCATTGGCCAGCCAGGAAGGGGCATCAGGGCCTGCTGGCTCACCTGCAGACAGCCCGTTCTCCTGGCCCTGGCCGTCTATCTCCTCTGACTCCTTCTGGCTCTGGGCGTCCACTGGGGAGGACTCGTTACCTTCTAGCTGTTGCTCGGAAAGGCTGGTGACGACTTTGTCAAACACACTTTTATCCTCGGATGTGAAGAGACTGCTCTGTAGAGGAGAACGTGGCGTCTGGATGTGGTGACTTTCCCACGTGCATGCCCCATTCAGCCACCCAGGCGCCCCTGAAGCCAGGAGGGGCCTGTGACGACTGGTTGTGTTCGTATTCCCGTGAAGACCCTCGACTGTCCCCTCCTCCATCCACCCATCCTGGTCTTGGGGCCACCACAGGCTCATCCAGGCCCCAGGGCCAACCCTCTGCCACCTCACTCGAGGCTGGCAGCTCCTCTTGGTCTCCAGCAGGCACTGAGGCCCTCTGGGAGCTGCCTGTGTGGGTCTGGCATGTGACCGAGGCCCAGCCCCCTCTTGCCCTGCCTGTCCCTCCTGGGTGCTGGCCTTCTAACAGGGCTCGCCAACCCGGCTCCAGCTCTGCCCTCTCTCCTCTGTCTACCAGGCCATGCCACCCAGTCCTGGCTCCTGGATCTCACCACAGAGCCCCAGGTACCCACTGGCCACGGCGGGGACGGACAGACCCTCAGACACTCCCTCCCCACCTGCCCCCGCAGCTCCCAGCCGCTGCCCTATCACCACACACCTGAGAGGGGTACAGTGTCCTGCTGTCACTGCACCTGGGCCAGGTGGCTGTAGGCGTCCTTTCGCACAGGCTAAGGATGCCCCACATGCCCCTCCTCCTCCCAGTCCCGCCGCCCCACTCTTGTGCCATCACCCCTCCAGGGGTGGGAGGCACCACGCCAAGGGGCCAGTGAACTGGGGCTGTGGCCAAGCTCACACGCACCGACTTCAGAAGGGACTGTGAGTCATCCATGTTGCAGAGCTCTGAGGCCGGAAGAAACTTGAAGCTCGTGCCCAGGCCCCCCGTGTTGGTCAGCGAGATAGTCCGGGACGCCGTCTCTCCCACCACGTAGCTGCCGAAGTCAATGAGCTCCTTGTCCAGCGACAGCTGCCCAGAGATGCCAGTGTGAGCTGGGGCCACCAACACCAGACTGGCAGGGGCCCAGGGTGGGCACGCCATGGTTCCGCCTATCACCCTGCAGCCCCAAGTGACACGGGAGCCCTGGCCCCTTCCTCCCTTGAGGGTGAGGCTCAAGCAGGACAGGCAGGGCTGCTGGGGGCATTCGGGTGCTGTGCACCTCGGCACACGCGCCATCCTAGAAACCCAAGATTCGTGTGTTCATCACGACCACGTGGTGCCTGTGCCCAGCTTAGGACGATCAAGCAGGTAGTGCATTTCATGCGTCACCAGGGTCAAGGGGGATGGCGCATGCGGCCATGGGGTCGGCATGTTGGGGATGTCACTCTCGGGCTGGGACAGTGTGCTGCAGACACAGAGACAATGGCATGTCCTTCCAGCACGGAAGCGTATCCCCATGGGGATGCTGCCACACACCCGCTATGGGCCACGGGCCACAGAACCACAGGTGCTGGCTAAGAATGTGGATCTGGGCTGGAGTCTTCAGGTGAGGTTAAGTCTCCTCTGACCCATGAGCCCTGCTGTCTGGGCTCCACACAGCAGGCTTTGTAAGACTTTTTAAGCCTTCGTCCAAGTACTCATCTTCAGGGCAAAGAACCCCACACACGTCCCCACCCGGCCTGGTCCAGGGCCCACCTGAGCTGCTGCAAGCCTAAAGCCCGTGGGAGAGGTCTGAGCCCCCCACACCCACCCCATCGGCGGCCCCTGGAGGCGCAGTCCCTCCCTGGGCTCCAGTCAGGATGCCCTAGGGTGCCGGGCAGACATCTTGGAACTCACAGAACATTTCTTTGTTGAACATATCAGTGGAATAGAAAATTCTCCCGTCTGAGCCAAAAATGAGATGTTTCCTTCAAGATCTTTGTTTACCTAAAAAATAAAACCACCCCAGCCACCATAAAATGTCTACGTCATTAGCAAGCTACACATGTCATGACTGCACAACCGCAGGCTATCAGAGGACCGCCCGCCAGCTCGGGGGACCCCAGAGAGAGGAGCCAACAGATGGTATCTCAGGAGGGTCCCATACTGGCAGGCCTGCTAAGCACATTCCAGTGCACCCCACTCAGACCGACTGTGAGGAGAGGGAGCCTGGTGGTGCAGCCAGATGGGGGTCCCTGAGCCCACTGTGACTCCGCCATGCCTCCCAGTGTCTTTTGGAAACGAACTGGCCTGCAGGCCAAGAGTCCTTCCTCCACACAGTCTGCAGAACCCCCATCTCTCCGCAGAGTGAGAACCCGACTCACCATGGGCTTGAAGGTGACAAGCACTTCACAGGACATCCCTGCCGACATGGGGCCAGGAAGGTCGTAGCTGCAAGAGCACACAGCTGGCGAGGGCTGCCAGGGGCGGGCTGGCCGAGCACTACGGGCACGGGGGGGCTGGGCCTCCCGTCCCCACCGCCCTGCCACCCGCACCCAGGAGAGTGCCGGTCTGCTGCTCTCCCACTGACCCTAGGACCCAGCAGGCAGAGACGCTTGCGCAGGGGTGGAAGGGAGTGAATGAATGAGTGAGCGAATGGATGGGGCCAGTCCCCAGGGGCCAACCCCAAGGGAAATGGAGAGCCACCGTGTAAGCAACGGCCACAGTTCCCCTGGGAACATGTGCTGGGCCTGGAGCTAAGGGTCGAGGGTTGTGATGCTCACATGGGGGGAGCTGGACTGGGCTCCCTGGGCTAGCAGGGCCCTTTGAGCCCTATTCCAGGGAAAGAACCAGCAAGCAGCCCCAGTGGCAGAGGAGACTAGAAGGCAGTTGGTCTGTCCTGGCCTGGCTCCGGGGAGGGAAAGTCTCTACGAAGATTCCTGACACCAGGCCTATTTTTGCAAGCTTGGATTTTACCCAGTGTGCTGGGTTTAGAAGTGCGCAAGCTGAAAATTCAATATAAAACAACCGTCCCCGACTGGCAGCGTCTCCACGGCACCAGCAGAAGCAAACCCAAACCTCTGATGGGGAGGGAACCGTTTTGATGCAGAGGAGGGAGCCCGCTGGGGAGAGGGTCAGAGATGGCGGTCACGGAAGCACCTGGTGGGCACAGCCAGCAGGCACAGGTGACTGGACACCACGGACTCCAGAGGTACCCGCACCAAGAGGGACTTTGGAGGATGTGTAGTTAAAATGGTTAGAGATATAAATAGGAAGTTAAGGCACAAGAAAAGAACAAGACTCTGCCAGCAAATGCCAGCTCGTCTTAAAAAGAACTGGGAATTTTTAGACATGAGAACTATGGCAGCTGAATAAGAAGCACAGTCAGCAATTTCGACAGCCCAGGAGGCAAGGGGACCCAGAGACACCCAGGACAGGCTCACCAAGACAGAAGTGGGAGAGTGTGGCAAGCGTCGAGGGTGGTGGGCAGGACGGAGGGTTCAGACGGGACACGGGAGAGGACCTCAGGAAAGCCAGGGCTGGGAGGGCTCCAAAGCTGTTGACCCAAAGCTCTGAATCTTCAGAGTCAACAAGCACAATGCATTCCAAGAAAAATTACCCCACACTAGACACCTGGCGGAGCTGCCAGCATGGATCAGAGGACCCCAGAGCAGCCGGCAGGTGGCTGGGCCCTGCAGCTGAGGACAGCAGTGCATAGAAAGCTGGCTGGCCTACAGAGATGGCAGGTGCTGGGAGCAGGGGGACGTCTCCAGCGATGTTCCACCCAAGTCCAGGGTCCCACCCATCTGGGCTCTGCGACCCTCCAGGGACCGCCCCGGTCAACGCAGAGCCCAGTGAGCAACAGAAACCCTGAGCCTCCAGTGGGGCTGGAAGACAGAGAGCCCTTCAGACTTTCACTCAAGGTCCAGTGCACTGCCCCGTGCACACCCTCACAGGGCTAAGGGTTCAATACACCGTGGGGAGGACAGGAGTGGGAGTAAAGACCCCATGTGACCTCAGCTCAGCCCACAGGAGAGCAGTCGTCCTTAGTGGGAAAGTACCGAACAGAGACCCTGTCAGGCACTCCAATGGCAGGGAGGCTGGCACGGTGTCAGCACCCAAGGGAGTGGCTTCTAGAAGATGCCGTGTGGGGGAGCAGGGAGAGGTCCCTGGAGCCTGAGGGGTGAAGACGGCACTGAGGATCCTGCCCGTGCTGAACCTCTGTTGTAGAAATTGCACAACAGTAACAGAAGGAGACTTTTTTTTTTTTAAGAGATGGGGGCCGGGTTCGGTGGCTCAGCCTGTAATCCTAGCACTTTGGGAGGCCGAGGCGAGAGGATTGCCTGAGCCCGCGGGTTCGAGACCCGCCCAGGCAACTTGGTGAGACCTCGTCTCTATAATAAATCAAAAACTAGCCGGGCGTGGTAACGCATGTCTGTAGTTCTGGCTACTTGGAAGGCTGAGGCGGGAGTGGCCACTGCCCTCCAGCCTGGGTGACAGAGTGAGACTTCAACTCAAAAAAAAAAAAAAAGAGAGATGGGGTCTCGCCTGCCAACCAGGCTGGAGTGTGATGGTGTAATCATAGCTCACTGCAACATTGATCTCCTGGGCTCAAGAGATCCTCCCACCTCAGCCTCCTAAGTAGCTGGGACTACAGGTGCACATCACCATGGTCAGGCAATTATTTATTTATTTAAGAGATGGGGTCTTGCTATGTTGCCCATGCTGGTCTCTAACTCCTGGTATCAAGCAACTCTCTCACTTCAGCCTCCCAAAGTGTGTGAGCCACCATGTCTGGCCAGAAGTGGGCATTCTTGAGCTAAGAATCTGAAAGCAATCCTGGACCTACAAAACTGTCCGTGAAACCTGAAGAAATAGGTGGATGAGAAAAACAAAACTTTCTTAAAAACAGGCAAGATACAAAGAAACAGAAGAAAAGACATACATGGCAGAACACACAAAAAGGCCACTGGGAGAAAATGAGGGAAATAAACGAGAAAAGAAGCACTGAAGGGGGCCAGGAAGAAACCGCGGACAGAGCGGACTCTCAAGAGGCTCTGACCACATGCAGGCAGGTCTCCAAGGAGACAGTCGTGGCCCCGGGAGCCGTAAGGTGTACACAAGTGACTAAGGAGACAGTCCTGCAACGAAGGTGCTTCCGTCTGAATATTGAAAAGCGTATTAATTGCAGGGAAAATCTCCCAGAGTGGCCAACCTCAAAACATGTGAAGCCTCAGGCAGCAGCACATTCCTGCTGTTCCCGAAGGGACACCACTGGGCTCGGCCGGGCTCAAGCACAAAACAAAGGGGCTCCCATCACAGGCTCCTCGGGAACTGGGCCTGTGCTAGACACCGCTGGAGCTGGGCCTGGACGCGAGGTCACAGAGCCTCCACTGCCACGCTCAGCCTCCCGACTCCACGTGGATGGAGGTGACCCTCCATGCCCCCCGCCCCCGCCGTGTCCTGACTCTGTGCGGATGAAGCCCCTGAGGCGACTCTCCAGGCCTCCCTGGTCCTTACTCCACGTGGATGGAGTCCTGGAGGTGACTTTCCACGCCCACCAGCCTGCAGTAGTTGATGGTGTAGGTGGCGTTGATCAACGTGATCTTCTTCTTGTACACTTTGCCAACATCAAAGTCCTGGTAGAGTCAGAGGCAGCAGCATCAGGGCTGGCCTCGGGCGGCGGCTGGCGAATGCTCCCTGTGAGTGAGAATCCCCAAGGAGCCTCCCTATCCCCAGGGCTCCCCCCAAGCCTTGGAGGGTCTGGGGACTCGAAGAGCAGGGTGAGGAGGAGACTGTCTGACAGCCCTCTCCACTGGGGCAGGAGTTGGGCTCTGCTAGAGTCCAGGGGTCAGAGTGACTGGGAAACTTAGGACCCCAGGCAGGCCCTGACACCATCAAGGGACCAGAGATGGGGACTCTCAGGTGTCCAGGACCACTCCCTCCCACGAAACCTGGCTGACAACCCCAGAGAGCACCAAACTCAGCCTCACCAGTCCCGCCCTGCACCAGCTGCGGTCGGTCAGCAGGTTGCTGGACTGGACCACAGAGGTCACCTCACATGAGTCGGGATCTGCCCAACAGAAGGGCCTGGCTGGCAACCGCCCTGCCAATCCCTGACCCAGGAGACCCAGAGCTCCCCACTGCTCTAAGAGGAGACTGGAGAAGGCCTGGCCCCGGCCTGCTGAGGAAGGACAGCAATCTGCTCCTAGCTCAGGAGACCTCTGGGTTTTCCACGGGGAAACAAGGGTGCCAGAGGGTAGACAGGGTGAGGGTTCCCTTATGTCCTGTGCTGCCTCCTGGTCACCGCAGTGGGCTCACCTTGAAGTGGACGCGCTCTGGCTTGCTGTTGAAGGGGCGGCCCTGGTACTCACGCCCTGACACCACCTGCTTCTGGACCTGCCGGCTACGCAGCCGCTCCATGGTGCGGGCCAGGATGTCTTTGTCCATCTTGGTCCCACCCACGGGCTTGCGGTCCACATCCTCCTCGGGCACCTTGGGTCACAGAGGCGCAGGCCTGGGCTGTTACAAGCAGCCCCGCAGTGGCCCCTGCTCCAGGGGAGCGCTAAGGGCTTCAGAAGTGATGACAGGTAACAAAGCACAGAGGGTGCCAAGTCAGCTCCAACCACCGTGGGGAAGAGCTCTGTGCCCGGGAGTTCCTCAGGGGCCCCAGCTTGACTTCCAGTCCCCCAAGAAGGCCGGGAGTCCTTGCTTCAGCA